GAATGAATATGCGCGGAAAATAAATAGATATGCTTATTAAATCAGTCAGGCATGTTATTTAATGGACGAGTTCCACCTTCGAATTTTATTAATTCTGACGATGATTCTTTTTTTTCTTCTATCGACAATGCTTAGAGTACTTTGATTAAGCGACAAACTTAGGCGAACAATAATAGCGCGTCCGTGTGCTACTGCATTATCAATAATCTTCAACAGATCTCAATCATTGACAAACTTTAACAATTAATGATAATATGATAATTCGTCAATAATGTTTGTATAACGTTTGTAAATTATAAAAAAAAAAAAAAAAAAAAAAAAAAAAAAAAAAAAAAAAATAGAAAAACAATCATTTCTACTCTTAATTGATTAGCAAAATTTCCGTTTACCTTTTCTTTGTCTTTCCATCTTTTTTTTTCTTTAAAGTAAAAAAGTATAAAAATCGCAGGATTGTTTTATTATATTTTGAAAAAGAAAATGTAAATGTAACCCATAAAAAGCTTACAATCAAATTAATGCGCGACTAATTATATAATTATGGGTTTGAATGTATAAGTATATCTAGCACTCGGAATCTTTAAAAATACTAATTAATAGCGGCCATTATTATTCGAAAAATAGAGATTAATTTAAATGAACAATTAGTTAAATGAGTTAATAATGCATTATTAGCTTAGTAATAAGCTTCCGACGGATTATTATTAAAATCCAGAGTCCTTCTTCAAAGGATAAATTTTCAGAAAACCACCCGAACATCGTCATATTGGTATTGGGAAAAAAAAAAAAAAAAAAAAAAAAAAAAAAATCGAACTAGACCAATAATGGACATTTTTGTCATTTTCGTACACCAGTAATCCAAGCTTTTTCCAACACATTTACTCAAGGAAATCTCTCTTACTCTTATTCAGATGCTGCTGCTGCTGCTGCTGCTGCTGCTGCTGCTGCTGCTGCTTACACACTGCTCTTTGCACAATTCGAAATTCGAAATTGTATGGTAGCTCGCTCTATTGGACGAAAAGTTCATCAAGAGAGAATGGAAGATAGATTTCTACATTATCCCATATTGAATCGACACACCAACCCACCATACGTCGGTACCAACACCAAATGTGAGAAAAAGCTCATTGTACTTATATTATTATATATAATATTGCAATGTCATGTTAAATATATTCTCGACCATAATGGATTTTTTTCTTTATCGTCGTCATTCGTGCACTTACCATTGGCATTTAAAAAATCTATGCTAATTAATTGTCCGTGTCCGTTAAGTGCAAGTCACTGCGAGGACATTGGCGCGTCTCTACTTAATTAAAACAAAAAAATCTCTAAAATACGGCGAGGAAGAGGGTACGTTGGACGTTAATTTGGCAAATATATATTGCACGAACGCACATGTCAATGCGCAAAACGAAAGGTAGGGCCAACCGCCATAGGTAAATCAGCTGATTAGGGAGCAGCGTGAGTTTTTATCGTCGTCGTCGTTGTCGTCGTCGTTGTCGTCGTCGTTGTCGTTATCGTCGCTATCGTCGCTATCGTCGCTATCGTCGCTATCGTCGCTATCGTCGTTATCGTCGTTATCGTCGTTATCGTCGTCATCGTCATCCTCGTCATCCTCGTCATCATCATCGTCGTCGTCGTCGTCGTTATCGTTGTCAATCCGAAAGCCCGAGTTTTGCACGACCGACAATTAAGCGCGGATGACGCCAATGGCCGGTAATGTTCTACCATACATCCAAAGCTCCCAGTGTCCTTTACCGTTGGGTTAGGGCATAACCTGGAGCAAACGTTTACGTTAGGGCACGCGACAGCTCAGGCGTCGTTGAAATCGTCGGGCCGAGGAGGGTGCGACCGAAGCCGCCCGTGGCTTGGAAGGGGCTGGAGAGGGCGAGGAGGGAAGGTAGTCCGTGGCTCGGGTCGGCGACCAATCGCGTGCCGACAGCACTAAGCCGAGTCCGCGTGGACGCTGGCGTGGGACAAGGACGGTGGCGGCCCGAGTCCTCCTCTCCACCGACACGGGAGCAGAGTCAGCCACGTCTTCAGCAGAGGCTGGTGCACCACCGGACGCGACGCATTCATAGTGTAACCTAGCCGAGGTTATTAAGGATGTTGGTCAAGCTGTTGGTTGTGGCGGTCTTCGCCGCCGTCGCCTGTCAGGCCACCGAGGAGGACGTGCTGGAATGGGCTGATGGGGAGTTTGCCGAGGAGTTGAGGCGCCACGATAACACCCTCGTTATGTTCTATGCGCCCTGGTGAGTCGTCGAGTCAAGTGTATACATATATATATATATATATATATATATATATATATATATATACTCGGGCGTCCGTGCGTGTGGCGCCCGGAGCCGGATAGCTCTCCTCTTCCTTTTATCGTTATCGGGGCAGCTAAGGTAATTAGGGGTTTGTCGGGGTCGCCGCCCCGACCGTGCGAGTGCGCAGACGATGTCGTCGCGTGAATGCGTGTATTTTGCTGTATCCATGTTGGGCCGTCACTGACGCATCGTTAACTTGGTTGTGCTTGGGTTCCGTTAACAAAGAACGGCGGCGACATGCATTGGGTCCCGCGAATAGCTATGGTTGCCGCGCGAGAACCTCGTATTTGTTTTGCCAGCTGTTAATTATAAATAATACGCACTGACGTAGTGGCGTACGTAGGGTTTGGGTTGCGAGGATGATCGGTTATGTGTATTTGATTATCTTGTAGTTTGGTTGGAGTCATTGGTGAGTTTGGCGTGGGGAAGTTATGATGCGCGAGGGAGGAGGAGTTGTCGTTGAGTGGTTAAAAATCGATCGATCGTGACCCTTGGGGCGTCTAATTTCTTTTATATTTGTCGATTGTCGATTCCTGCGGACGACAATGGTTCAGCATTGATTTGTTCTGTGATGGAAAAGTTTGATAAGAAATTGCATACGGGTGAATACGGTTAGTTCCTTACTTTCTATTGTAATGAATTGTGGAAATGGGAAAACTAGTTGTCACGTAGTCGAAACAGCAGCTTTTATTCTGCTGTTTGAGCGTTAGTTTGGTGCGGAAGTGAATTAGTAGTCTGTGACAGAGTTGTGTTGGTAATGTACGACGATACATTTTAGATTTTTGATCAGTGCTTAGGGCGTGTAGATGGTCCGTATTCTTAAATCAATGTTTTCAGCTCGACTGTTTAGTATTGGATCGCAGCGATTCAGCCAGTATTATTATTAACTTTTCCAATTTCCTCCTTTATTTTCTGCCGTGAATTCTTGCTTCTGAATGCCAAAGTAAATTTTATGCAAAAACAACAAATGATAATGCCTGTAGCGAATGTAGATAAAATATTAAAAACTCTGCTTTAGTCATTATCAATGTAATTATACTATTAATATGCAAGCGGCGTTAGATAAAATATATTTCTTTTGGTGTATTTCTTAACAAATAAATTCAAAGCTCATTACCATTGTTATCTACTTCTTTCATTGTACATTGTATTTTTGCTCGATGCTAATGTACGGCGACGACTAACAAGTAGTGTAAAATAAGGAAAGGCGTTCACTGCTATTAAATTTCAAAGTTTGACGATAGTCCGTTAATCGTATCAACGGTTATTAAAAATCTATCGAGATTACAAAGATCGACGAATATTTATTTTTGTTATTGTTAACCGTTTGACAGGTGTGGCCATTGTAAGCAGCTGAAACCAGAATACGTAAAGGCTGCTGAGCTATTAAGAGACAACGATCCTCCGATTACTTTAGCTAAGGTTGATTGTACCGAATCTGGAAAAGACACGTGTAATAAATACTCTGTCAATGGCTATCCAACACTCAAGATCTTTGCCAAGGATGAAGTGGTTAATGATTATAATGGTCCAAGGGATGCATATGGCATCGCTAAATACATGAAGGTAAGGGATAAAAATGTATTTTGTCTTCAAATTGTTGTAGATATATGATGATATAAAGTTGTTGAGAAATTTTATTATTAATGTAAATTAATTATTATTATTATTATTATTGTAAATATCATTATTTATTATAGAAATGTAATATATGTCATAAATTTGTTAGGCTCAAGTTGGACCGGCCTCGAAGGAATTGTTGACTGCGGAAGATGTGAAGGAATTCATGAATAGCGAAGAAATAGGAGTCATTGGTTACTTTGAAAAGGAGGATTCTTCCCTCTCTGTTTCTTATCATTCGGTTGCCAAAAAGTTAAGGGAGAAGTTCAGATTTGGACACTCAAATAATGCAGAATCTGGGTGAGTAATTAAGCATTATTATCTGCAATAATCCAGATGTAAGACAAGTGTGTTAATACAATATGTTAATGTTTTGGTCCATTATTCTTTATAATAGATTTAAGAATATTTATTTCGTGTATCGTTGTGAGTACAAATGTGTTTCAGGAATAAGATCGTTATTCACCGTCCCAAGTTGCTGCACAACAAATTCGAGCCCAACGAAGTTGTCTATTCAGGCGCTGACTCGATCAATGACATCAGTGAATTCGTCAAACAAAACTAGTAAGTTTGTCCTTTAATTCATTGAAACCTAATTATTTTATCGTTAATTAAAGTTTTTACGGAGCAAACAGAGAACAAAAAATATTAATGCATGTAATTTTTATACGATCCTCGCTAATAATTAGCATTGGTTATTAATATTTATTAAATCAGTCGTTTTAAGATATTTAATAGATTATTTAATAGACATTAATTGTGTTGATATTGCTTGCCTTTTCTTAAGTCTTGGTTTGTTTAAACAGTATTTGTAATAGAAAATGTGAATTTGACTTGATTTTTCTACAAAAAATGCATTGTACAAATATTATAAGAAGCCTTTTAAATGTAATCTAAGCACTTTATTTGTTTAAATATATTTTAATTTATTATTATTTATACTTTTTGTTTCAACGGCTCTTTCCCACTTATTATTCAGTCGTCGATTACAAATATCCAAATTCTGTAATGATTATTTTCATCGATAAAGTTTATTGTCCTTGTTATACTTTTATAAAAAGTATGCTGCTTTTCCTTCTTTCTGTCAAACAACTTTTAAAACGACAAATTTAAAGAAAGAATAAATTGTAATAGAACACTATATATAGCCTCGACCTGATATTCCAAGCAATTTTAATATCTGAGAATGAATTAATCAAATTGGAATGTTTGAATTCCGAACGACCTGATTATTTCCATGAATAATTGTCTGTCCGTAGTTATGGACTCGTGGGCTTGCGCACCCGTGACAATATGGAGGCCTTCAAGAAGCCGCTGGTCGTTGCCTATTACTCCGTCGACTACGTGAAGAACCCCAAGGGCACCAACTACTGGCGCAACCGTATCAGGAAGGTCGCCAAGGACTTCCCCGAATACACGTTTGCAATAGCGTCAAAGGACGAATTCCAGAATGAGCTGAACGAGTACGATATTGACTACGTCAAGAGTGACAAGCCCATTGTCCTGGTGCGCGATGAGCGCAACCAGAAGTTCATGCTTCGCGACGACTTCAGCGTCGAAAGCTTCGAGAAGTTCATGAAGGATCTGCAGGCGGACGCCCTTGAACCCTACCAGAAGTCCGAGCCGATCCCAGAGAACACCGGCAATGTCAAGGTTGCGGTCGCCAAAAATTTCGACGAGATCGTGACAAACAACAACAAGGACACGCTTATAGAATTTTATGCTCCTTGGTGCGGACACTGCAAGAAACTCGAGCCCATCTACAACGAGTTGGGTAAGGATGCTTAATTTCTCGATTAAAGCTCATTTTATAATTGGACGTTGCACGTGGAAGGCAGTGTCGCGTGATATGCGAATCTATTCGATCAAGGTCGCGCCAACCGAGAACAACTGCCTGGTTGACATTTTCTTTTCGGTACTTTCGATAATCCTAAAAGTCGACGATTATCTAGCAAATTTTTAATAATTCGCGAGTCCAGCAAACTAATTAATACGTACGAAAAAGCAATTGTTATATTTATTTAGAAATCTTCGTACATCCATTATTCTGTCCGTTATTAATAATTTATTTGGAAAGCTACATTTTATGTATAAGAACTCTCAAAATAACTAATAGCGGGTAACAATTTTATAAAATTCATCAAGCTGTAAGCTTAATTGCTAGAAATATTGATTATTATTATAAAAGTTAAATTAAAAGTCATATAAATGGTTTAGGAGTTCAAAAAGTAATTAAGTTATTACTGCATAATATATATATATATATATATATATATATATTTCCTATTTAAAAATGTCTTGCTAAAATGAAGAGAGAGAGAGAGAGAGAGAGAGAGAACGAATGTCTTTTTAATCGAATAAAAGGTGGCATGGGAGTCGACACTACCCAATGATGCGTGCAAGTAAAGCTTCAATGAGCTTAATTCCTCTTAATGACTTATTTATTCGTTCGATGATTAGGTGATAAGCTCGCCGACGAGGACGTGGAGATCGTCAAAATGGACGCGACGGCCAACGACGTGCCTTACCCATACGAGGTCCGAGGCTATCCCTCGCTATTTTGGGTACCGAAGAACTCCAAGGACAATCCACAAAAGTACGAGGGTGGCCGCAAGCTCGAGGAGTTTATCGAATACATCGCCAAGCACGCGACCAACCAGCTCAAAGGCTACGATCGTAGTGGCAAGCCAATCAAGGCTCCCCAGGATGAGCTTTAGAGAAACAGACGACGGAGCAGATTCCTTTCGCTACGAGGACGTACGTAGGAGGATGTGGAACACTCGACTAACGTTCTTGCTGTATTTGTGATAGCATTATTTTCATAACTTGGCCCATAGATTATCAATAATGAGCTCATCATTTTTTTTTATTTTTTTTACTTTTATTTTTTTTTAATACAATTGTTTATAAAATTAATTAACAATAGATGGTATGGAGGAGAAGGAGCGGTATAATGTGTGCGCGTGCGTGCGTGTGTGTTTCTGAGCCATTTCAGCGGAGCAACCCTAATGTTATCAGAAATACACCGGGATAAAGGAGAGGAAGAGGTTGCGTTCAATTGCCTTTGGAATTCCATTCATCATTGTGTTGACAACAGAATCTTGCGATCCACCGATCGATCGATAAATAAGGCATTGAAAATTTTTGGCGCCAAAGCTCTATAGAAATATGCGGACAAAAAGGAAGAATGCAAATGTGGCATAAACTATTTTTCAAGGCTCGCAACACATTTTGCATAAGACTTGTATATCGCAAAAGTTAACGCATTGTATTTCTCGAACGTCTAACACGGCGAACGAATATTTTAAATGCTTTTTAATAAAAATGATGATTAGAAAATTGTCGCTCAATCCGTTTCTTTGTCCAATAGAGAGACATGCATAAGGGTACACATGTAATGCTGAATTTTATACAAATATTTTACAAGATTTTGTAGATACTAAGTAATATTTCTTTCATAAATACCCGTCAATGATCTATTTTACGTTGATATATTTGATAAAAATAGACTATAATAAAACCATTACCTTCTGTTCATACGTTAGTCAATAAATTGTTTTATATGAAATATCAAACTTGTCAGTGCAATTCTTATTCTTTTCTCGCTTCTTTGCCATGTACGGATGATTTATTCACGATAATTTTTTTTTTTTTTTTTTTTTTTTTTTTTTTTTTTT